ACTGTCCTGGCGGTTGGATATAGTGCCACAGCGGGATCAGGCTGTCTCGGCGTTTAGATATAGGTATTTTTGATTTTTGTTGTTTTATTTGGTGTTTTTAATTGTTTTTGGTTTCGTTTGGTAGTCTCCCTATTAGTCATCGGGGCGGTCTGTGCGTTCTCGAAGATTTTCGCATTTCGAACACGTCGCAAGAATACCGACAATACCCCCTCTAGCACCTCAACGAGAGGGCTGCACACATTAGAGGTGGCGTAAATCGGTTTCTCGCGACGTGTTACCCCTATATCTGATAGAAAATTGACGAGTTTTGATGAAAGATTTCTGCTTAAAAGTTGGTGTGTGCTGGTAGGAACTCATTGTTGAAATCAAAGAGAGTTTCATACTCGTATGTCCACGCTGCAAGCACCTCTATTGTGGGGCATCTTACGAGGTATTGTTGGTTAGTACGCGTGTCTGGTCTGGTCGAATACACAGTAATTAGCGCGGCTGTGGGACGTCAATCCGCTGGCAGTAACATTTCGCGCCTCAGCTGGCACCTCAGCCTATGCAGCCATTTTGCACTGACTTTCGTCGTCCGAGGTATTGGGTGATGCTCTGGGTATCATAGTCTCAGGTTCTTGTCTCGAAATGCCAGATAATGATTTGAGGTGGTGATGGAAACTGGCAATGCGGAGCGACTGGTTGATCGGAGTCTTGTGTGCACATTGTCTTGTAGGGACGAGGTCTCGCGCATAAGGTCTTCAAGATGACCACCAAGAGCAGAGGCAAAGCTCAGTATGGAACTGGCGAGCCAGAGGCAACCGCTAGCTTCAGCAACCAAGGGGCAGCGATAGAGAAGTTTGATCCTTTGTCGCAAATTGGCCAACAACATCCTGTTGGTAGAAGGGCCTGAGCCTCGTCCTCCTTTTTCTTCTTCCTCAATTATTAGAACCTCTAGGTTAGCACGTAAAGCCTGGCATTGACTATTGTCCAGCTCGAGAGTTTCCATGTGTATTCACCATGTACAAGTCTTTGCAAGTCCACTTTTCAGACGTTATTCTTCAATGACTAACTAGCACAATGCAACAGAGATTTCTCTTTTCCATGAAGAGACAACCAGGATCCGTGCTTGCAGCTCTTCATGATTGCTGGATCACGACAGCTGACCAGAAAATGTACCTGAAGTGCGGCTTCAGGACGGCTTAGTGAGTGGTAACTTAGCTAGGCATTGATATGTTATATAACACCACTATGGTAACCGCGGATGCATGAGTAAAGTGACAAAGTGATTCCTTTACCTACATGTACATAATATGTAAGCACTTTCTAGCCATCATAAACATCAAACCTATGAAAAAGCAATGTGCAGTTTTATATCCACGCTCGTGTAAGCAGAAACCTTTTCTTTCTTGAAATTTCTATGGTGAATGGGGAATTGCATAGCGACGCTGTTACCAGCGATCGTAGATGACATACATAAAGCGGCTGCACAGTGGCTATATAAACGTTAAGGCTACCATGCCGAATGTTATTCATAATTCAATACAATAGATTCGCTAAGTATGAAACGAGAAGAGGAGAGACTTGAGTCAACTTCAAAAAAGCGGAGAACCAGGTGAGCAACCTCGTTCCATAGATGGATATGTCTGGTGGGCGAAGACTCGCTGGAAATTCGATTCTCCTATCGGTCATCATGCTAATAGGTAAGCAGCATGATGATTTGTGAATTCTATTCAGAGGGATCATTCTCACAGGGCGTATACATATGATGATCCTCTTGCCGAAATCAATGAGAACATGTGGAAAACATTTTCTCCAGCTAGTCGAAAGTGGGCATAATTACTCGCCCTTATCTCGCAGCAAATAGTTAATGATACATTCTTACACTCTGCAATTTTCACTCTTGTATACTCCATAGCTTCTGGCTTACATAATTCATTGTTCCGTCTAGTATATGAAATATTGGCTCTAGCAGTGTTCGGTTTGAAAACTTCGCAGATAAGTGACCGGAGGTATGGCTAACGACGGCTCAGGTTATTTTGGGAAATCCATTGGTTGTCAAGATAGTCGCGACGTGGGATCTATGATCGATTGGTTGTAAAAATTGGAAGTTACAAGTGTATGGAAAAAATTCCGAATCTGCACAATTTAGTAAAATGAAGACCCCTAGAGCATTTGCTAGAAAATCAGCTGGCAATGATGAGCGTTTTTTCATAGACGGAAGTATGGGCAAGGCCCTCGCTCGGCCAGCTTACCACGTCGCAGGCTCCTACACGTACAACTTCCAACAAGGCCCCAGCCAGCAGAGCAGCATGGCGCAGCTTGTTCTTGCCATGGCGGCTCTCAGCCTTGATAACGGGAATACGGAGGAGATGGCTAAGACGGGGTGCAAGGATTGCAATCTACGCATAACCACTGAACGCCTTCAGCAATGTTTAGCTCTGGAAAGCGAGTATGTGTTTGTAGAAAAGTGACTGCGCACAATTGGAAAGTCCTTCTTATAGCAACCAGTACAGTTAGTTATAAAACTTCATTAATTATTCTAGGGTCCGTCCCTGTGGTTTGAGCACACCTTTGCAACGAACTAAGTTAAATAACTAACTAGTTACAAGAAAGGTTGTTATTAGTCACACCTATAAGAAGGGTAGAAAATATAACTATCTATAAAAAAAGTACATAAACAACGGGTAAATAGAGATGTTGGTTTCTTAGGATGGAGTACCCCTCTTCTGTAGCGGCACGGGGGGATTTTCGTGACCCAGGGAGAAACATTACGCAGACTAATTAGTAAATCACCTGTGATTCAAGGCTGCTGCAGTCTGCTGGATATTAAGAGATTCATCGCTAGTCATTGTGGGTTGCCCAAAGCCTGCTTGAAAAGACAATGCTAGCGGGTCCACTGTCAGGGCAGTGCGAGATTTGAAATTTGGAACCGCAGCGGTCATAGGATCCTGGTCTTTGAGAACAGCCCCACATTGGTCCGGAGGTAAGTCAGTCACAACATCCACGTCAATACACGATGTGTAGTATTCGTCCTTCCCATGCAGGGGCTCACGTCCTAGTTGAGGTGCTGTCGGCCATTGCCACACCCAATATAGGGTATAAGGCTTGCCAATAGTGACATCATCTGGCATTCTTACGTTCGTCTCGCAGAAAAGTTCGTGATCTGAGCCTGGCTGTCCAGGGATTGGGTTGGGTGTCTGCAAACGACGAGCTTTACCCAATACTATACTGTCATCACTGAGCTGATAGCACCTGTCATCATCAAAGTTTTGGGCAGTCAATAGTCTGCCAGATTGGTCACCACCCTTGCCATCACGTGTCCAATGCATTACATTTTGAAGAGTTTCACCGGGTCGTGGTTGCTTTGTGCCAAACACGAACACTGTGCCTCCTTTCTCCGGCTTCCCCACAAGATTAAGTCCGCCTCCAGGCATAGTTACGTGGCCATTCTCGGCGTAACGTAAAGCGATCATACTTCCCAGCTTAGTTTGTAAACGCGAGAAACGGCCTGCTTGTTTAGGGACTTGTTGAGACGGATGGCAGAGCAGGTGCGTTTCGTTGATGAAGGGTGGGCCGCCTGCCGGCGGCAAGAGCCATTTGTTGGCCTCCTGGTCAAATTTGGCGTCAGCAGATTTGTCTGCAAACGCCCGCGGAAAACCAGAACAAGAAACATAAGAGCCATTAGACGCAATGTTCTTGAGTTCTTCAACATAGGAGTGTGCGTTGGCCGAGTTGGCTGTCAGCAGCAATATTGTAGCAACCGCTTGATACTGCATGTCGGAGAGCAAGTGGTGGAAGCCAAGGGCTGGCTTAGAAAAGCGAGCCCTATATGATATGTCTTGAGTCTTGCTTGTGATAACTTCATTTTGCACGCAGTCAGCAGATTACACAACGCGTGGCGATGCTTCATTTATGCTGACCTGTCCATCAGGATGACCAGAAATAGAGCTCTAGATGCATGAGTGAGAGCTACAGCAACTCTGAGTAGCGGGTAAACAACCTACTGTATTACCTACCTCTGCGCGAACTATACTTACGCTGGGCTTCTTGCAACATTAAAGGCAGTGATGAATTACGATAAGAAAGAGGGATTTAGGCTTGATGCAGCTTCGCCCCTGTAGGCACTGTTCGAAACGCCCAGAAGATCGCAGATTGATCAACCATATCGATTATTCTGTAGCTGACGTTTTGTGCTAAGCTATTTACGAAATGCGGGGCTGCTCAAGTATGTTGTGCAGTTACCCGTAAGGTTGAAGCCGCAATTGCGGACGACTGTATGTGATGATATATTTCTACTAATATCTTTGTAGTTTGTCGTCCGTGTTAGAACTCTCGGCCTCGATCCTGGCAACTTTGACAGACGAAGGATTTCTTAGGCTAAACGCATGTTCAATCCCTAAAGTAAGAACCTCGCTAATGGTAAGCCTTATGCCTTGATATGGTAGGCGACAGCTGGCGATGACAACACTCATCACTATTTCCTATAAGCGAAAGCAGAAGAATTTATCATGTGATCCTGTATGAGATCTAAAGGCGGTCTTGCACGTTCTGATCTTTTTGGAAACTATACTTATCAGAACGTCAGATACACAACACAATGATGCAAACAGGGCGATGTTTGAGAGCGCTAGGCATATTGCCTAGATGAGTGCTGGAATTTGTTTTACTGACAATGCTTATGATCTTGCGCGAACCAAATATGAAATAGGATCTGTTTCAACCGTCTGGAACAAGTTCAAGTCCTGCATCAGGTCTAAAATCTATGCGACAGGGAAATTTCTTCAATGTGGCTGATATGGTGATGGAGGACAATGAAAGCAGTGTCTTTAATCACAGGGTAGCCACAGAGCATTACCGAACACCTAGAAGTCAGCCTCCCTTTGAAAAAGAATTTGCGATCATCGAACACATGATCGCAGAGTATGATTCACTGGTTGATAGTGCCCTTAGTATGGGCTGTGTAGATATGAGATATGAGCGACCACGAGCCGCCCCTGCCGTTCCTAAAAGAGATTTACCAGACTCTCCGAAGCAACGGGGCGTTATCTTGACCAAAGTATCGACTAAACCTAAGCTAGTTCCGAGAAGCTTCCGCAGACTACGTCTGAATATTCAGCATCCTAATCAGTCTAGGTATAGGTCGCAATCGAACCAGGCCGACAGTATAGCCACGGACGTACGTATCTCAGGTTAATCAGCAGATACTCTTCGCGTCTTCATTCAGAGGATGCAGACTGGTTCGACACTCGTAATCGACATACAGACGTTAGCGATTGCGGCTTCACCCTTACACACAGCTGCTCAACGGATTTGAACAGCCCCATTTTCCTTATGTAGCTTAGCGCGAGAAATCTGCTCTAGAACAACTGATGTGGTTGTTTAATTCTTAATTTTAGGATGACTGAACTTTTGAGATGCTGCTTGTAGAGGTGAAGCCACAATTGCTAATCACTGTATATAGCGTTCAATCAATAGCTGCTGAGCCCGCTTCACATTCATTTCATCTATCGTTGCATTAAAATACAAAAATTATAACATCGTCTGCACTATACGCCACACACAGAGCGTACTATTATACCAACATCTAAGCCTATGCTATACAACACTGCGCTTACCACTTAGTTCCTGTTAAGCTTATAAGTCGAATTATCTACACTTTCAACTATTACTGTACATAACTAAGTAATTAGTTAACTAGTAATGATAGGCTCCGGTAAAAAGATGCGATCTTGCTGTTCGAAGCCTACTACTATTTGAGATACAACACCTTAGAAAGAAACCGGCTTAAGATGAGGTTCTGGTCCTCCACAATGATCAGTGGCCATAACTTAGCGGTAGTGGGAGACGCGTACCTGATGGCCGAAGTACACTCTCGGGTCTCTAGTGTTTGAACGTAAGCCTTACGTTTTGTAGTTGAAGCACTCCGTCTTCTGGTTTAACGTTGAATTTGCACCATGCGTGTACACATCGTCCATTCCGATTTTTCCTGCCTCAATGGCTAGAGATGTTCGGCAGGCCCACTCTGGACTTCATCGTACACATTGTGTCAAGTGAATTGCAGTCCCTTTGGAAACTTCGGTCTAACACCTACCCCTGCAAATTCATCTCGCTACTTCACAACTCTCCTTGATCTAGCATCTACCTAAACCCTATTTCCCTATTTTACGTGCTTATGCGCACTAATACGTGTATGTATGTACTTACATCTTCTGCAAGTTCTTGAGCTTCTCTGCCGCGAATACTGAATTACGCCTGAGTTTTTCTAGATCTCCGTAAGAGCTTGCCCCGCCAAGAGGGACGTAACATTAGTGTCGTGATTATAGCATGGTAAAAGGATTGCGGTACAATTGATTAGAGGAATCTCCTAAACTGCTTATTGTCCCTGGGCGTAAGCAAGTTGAACGTAAATATACGCCTAAGTAGTTAGTTACTATCAGCTTATCATGCATACCAAGCATACAGTTAGTAGCGACTATAGCTTCACCCCTGTATATACATACGCAGCTGCGCAGCGGTTTTAAGCAGTCTCACTCTCCATATATAGCTTAGCGCAAGATATCAGCTACAGAACAACCGATATGATTGGCCAATCCCCGATTTTATAATGACTAGATTTTCGGAATGCTGCTTGCGGAAGTAAAGCCACGATCGCTAATGACTGTACTAATCGGGTCATGTGACCCGATCAGTAATGAGTACGTATCTGTTGCGACAAAACCTATGTAATTACACCCACTAACTACTTAACTAGTTAATTACAACTCCATTTACTTCCGCGTTCGATTTTCCAAACGTCTAAAGTACAAGACTATCTCGTCTCAGGGTGCATCCCAAGGTGCAGGTGGGGTAGCGTCTAACGCTCAGGCCATCCGTGAAACGGGAGCGCAACACGCTAAGATTCCACACGTAGTCACGAGGTTAGCTAAGCCTTTACAAGAATAATTCTATAACGCGTAAGACGCGTCCCTGCCCCGCGTCATAGCTTGCACCTCTCACTTTCACACCCTGCACTTTGCACTTTTACACCTCGCACCTTCATATCGTCTCTGCTATGTAACTAGATCGTCTACATATAGTTAGATACATCTCCCTGCACGTTCAAAAACCAATCCAAAAAATTACAGATGACATTGTATGGCCATCTCTAGTGATTCCCCTTGGCTTACGATTACCCAGCAATGTGAGAGCTGGTGCTTATCTATTACGCTGATGCCCATGTATGAAAGTTAGACGACTATTTGCATCATTCTTTTGACGGCTAGAGCAATACATCTTCTAGGGCACGAGTAAGCAGCATTTCGTGCTGCGTGTTATCAGTAGCCATATTCGTGCCTTCATGCATCAAGTTTCCACCCCAACAAGCTACTGCAGCCCAAGACTGGCTGTGGAAGTATTGTGGACTGCATTCTGTGTCTACAATGGGTAAGGCTAGTCGCGCCGTGTGCATTGCCCCGCCTTTGCTGCTCACATTTGCGTCTTTGATCTGCTTTCTTGTTATTGCGTTGGCGCAAGTTTCTGCTGGTGGTCACAGCACTTCACTCCAGCGAGATCTCTACTTTTTCAAAGTAGATACGAGCAGGATGTTGCTTAGTTCTCAAAGTTTGCTAGATACTCTCCCCGACGGTATCGTTGGCACCCAGGTTCCTGACGCCCATCAAATTGTAGAAAAGTCCCAGAATATAAAAGACTTTTATGCGGTTGGCCTCTTCGGTTACTGCGAGGGTGACATTAACACCGAAAACTAGGAGGGAGGTAGTCACGCACTGCAGCGATTGGAAATTGCCATTCTCTTTCGACCCTGTAGCTGTCTGGAAGCTGGAAAATACAAGCGTGCAAGCGAACCTAGGGGACCGATTTACTAAGGGCATAAACATATACAGAAAAATGGTAGAGTCGACACATTACGTCTTCATAGCCATGTTAGCGTTGAATGTATTGGAATGCATAGCGGGGATACTTGCCGTTAAGGGCAGATTATACAGTTTGTGCACAACTATCATTGCCTTTGTAGGCTCTCTTTACCCTCCTTCATTCGCTTACTAACATGTATAATTAGTTACAAACTATGCTTGCCATTACGACAGCAGTAGTAGCGATGATCACCTATATCATGCTGAAGGGTGTGTTTGAGTCGGTCTTGCGCCCTTACAACGTTGAGGGATCTCTGGGACTTTCCTTGTTCTCTGTTCTCTGGTTTGGTGTCGCCTGCTCCATTGCATCGAGCTTCTTCTGGTCCTGGAGTGTCTGCTTTTGCTCTGGCAAATGAGTCACTGTCTTGGGACTATTTCTGTGGCGTTGATAGTGTGCTGCGCTTTGTTTAAGTCTGGGCATATAACTAAACGTGAACGCATGTCACAAGCGCATGGGTTGAGCTACCCTTAGACAGAAACATGGATAAGTGAATCAGATTCCGCCCATAATACGCGGACAGAGTCTGCGGTCTATAAAAGGTTAAAACTTAGAAACTTTATATTCACAGAGTGCAGAATTATATAGAGGTATCTATCTGTTGACGAAGTGAGGATGCGTTACACGATTTTCAAAGCGGAGACTCGTCAGTGCCTCTTACTATCCCTGACGGGCATCGCTACACAGCGATGAGTGTTAAGCTGCAACCGGGGATTTGTGTTTGGGGGAGCTGATACATTACTGAAATCCTGTATTAGGTTGCGTGTACTCAGTCCAGCCTTGTAGGCAACGGTTAACTAGTTAGTAAATGAAATATCAATTTGAACTTCAAGAAACGGAAAGAAGGACGAGTTGAATAGCTCCGAGCCTCTCCAATCTTTACCCTCTGCCTACTTGCATGCCTGATGTTTTACCGCCTCTATCCTACCAACTAGGATTGTCTACAATAAAGTTGCTCTGACTCGTGCCGTGCAAACACTTACTGCTCGGATGGCCGCAGTAGCTGTAGCGGGCGCTCTACCAAGGCGATATTGTGTCACTTTCAAGACTGTGACCTGTTCTGTTGGAACTTATGGAGGCTGTAAGCACCTAGGAAGCTTCCTTATTACAGCGGACAGGCTCAGAGGTGCTGACGAGAGCCACGGTGACAAGGACGTCAGCAGTTTACATTTCAGCCTTGTGGCATTCCACTAGTTGGGAATTCCCTGTCAGAGGAATCCCTCAAGAATGGAATTCCACTCCTGTGGAATTCCAAAAGAATAGGATTCTCAAACCCTCACGTTTCCCCTCGCTCCTGTCTCTATGCCCAATCCCGACGCAGTTGACGCAAGGCCTCCCCGTGTACAGCCTATAGAGGCGGGACTTCTCACTTTTGCAGATGCAGTTCACGGTCATGCATTTGCGGAGGCCTTCTTCGAGTTTATGATTTGCACTCTGGGATCTCTCGTTTTAACTCTCTGGCGCTGGAACTAGACGCCGCCGTATGACCCTGCGTGATTGAAGTGCGCTCGGCGCTCGGCTCAGATGTTTTTCATCTTCGGCATTATGCCTCCCTCACATTTCCGGCATCTAGAGATAGAAGCCGCCTCGGAAGAAGTTTCAGCTCCCTTCTAGCGCATCCAGACTAATGGCTCTAAGTAGCAAACATAAGCCGAGTGTAAACTAAAATATATTACATCATGGCGGCTAGCGTGCGCCAAAGAGCATTTGGAGTGCCAGCATCTTCTCATCTTTGTTGTGGTTGCGAAAGAGCGCTGCTATGCCCTTTGTTGCAAATTACCAAGCAGCCCCATTCTGGCACAGAAGCCACCCGCCCACGCTTTGCTATAGTACACTATTACCTACGTTGAGAATCAAGTTACAAAAGACAGAGAAATAACTGGCAGACGAGAAAAACAGGAAACCAATGTGTTGTTTATGGTTGACCTACTTGTGTACGATCTTTCATATACCTAATACAACGTATCCGTACTAAATGGAGCTTAGTAGACTGCTATTGTGGTGAGTCTGACGGCGGCACGATCTGATCTAGAAGTGTACCTGTCCTGAAGCTGCAGCGAGCACTCAACCAAGGCAGCGTTATAAGCCTCGGGACCCCCTTTCCTAAGGATCAATGGTGCTGACGAGAGCCATCATGAATCACTTATATCATATAAGAAACAAGTATAGAGTTGGTGGTAAATTGGCGTCAGCAGCTAACATAACTTTATGTCATTCCACAGGCCAGGAATTTCGCAAGAATGGAATTCCAAGCCCACGGAATTCCACATGGATATCACTGCTGACGATGCCCATGGGTACGTATGCACGCTTAATCAAAGCGAGTTTAAATTTCTTTCGGCGTGGATACGTTACAGCTGGCATGTCCATATCGATATACGCTATTGACACATCGCATGGATCTAGATAGATTTGCTCTATTAACAGCTTGCAATACGTTTAGTTTCATCGTTGCATAGTCATCACTCCTGTACAAATACAGAGCTACGTATGAAGTGAGCGCTATGCGGTTCGTTGGACCACTAGTTTTATAAGAGGATGAAGTAATATGCTTACCCAAAGCAAGAAAGTCCAAAAACCAGGTAGTCACCTATGATACACCGCTTTTCGAATGATGCTTGTGCAAAGGATGACTAATATTTCTTCCCCTTCGATCTCTGACGTATCTATGGCATACCCCTCGAGCTGGAATGAACATTCAGATGATGGAAAATCCGCAAGTGGGAACAAAGATGTTGCTCAACATCAGAGTGAATTAATCACTTTAAAGGACATCCTAATACGACAGCAAGATGACGCACGGAAAGCATATCTTGAGGATTTAGGGTATGGGTGGAGAAACGAGTCTATTAAAGAACCAAAGATGCAGTGTATATGTCTTTGGGAGAGATTACAAGCGGCCCAAAGAGAACTTTTCCAGCATAAGGTGTACGATATGGAAAGGCCAGTTGAATTGGAAGATAACATCTACCGGCTACAACGACAAATTGTGACAAATGAAAACTCTGGAAAGACACAACAGCAAAAAGAGATCTATGTATCAAGACATGCGGGAATTTTAGTCGATGGAGCACGTGCCAGACATAAAAAGAGGAAACATTCAGGGTCTATAGACGATACAGTTATGCCCGACCGCAAAAGAGTACGCTACAAATAGACGGATTTGTGCAAACCATCACGTGCTTATGATGGAAACGGCCCTATTGAGCCAAAGAGGTAGGTATTCTAACTTTTTACAGTGTCATATCCACAGAGAACGGGATAGATTAAAGAACAGAGTCGGATGTAGCTTGATATGGGTAGCAAGATCATGTAGTTAGAGTAATCGAAGATTTAGTCCCTTACGCTACTAGAAATCAACCACATGAAACAGGGACAATATTCAGAAAACTGGTTGCGATTTTTGGTAATCGGTCCTGTTTCGATTTGATACTGCAGATTTGAATGCGTTTGAAGTATCATCTGCTCCACAGCCATATGGGGGCATGTTGAGAGAAAGCTCGCTCGAGCTCTCAGCTTGCCAAGCAAAGATCGAAGAGCAAAGCAGGGCAGCATGTTAAGCAAGCAAGAGAAAATAAAAAAAGAGAGGCAAGCTAAGCAAGTGGGTCAAGGGTCCGAAGAAGCAGAAGGTAAAGCTAGGATTCTATTCTCTGGCATGTGCTGATATATCTATGTAAAAGCTTATGAGTTCATTAGCACTTTTACATGTTCCGAAGGTCTATATCACATAAAGAGAAATGGCGATCACCATTAGTGTAAGCGAGGTTTCTACTTAATGCCAGACAGACCAAAACTAGGAAAAAATATTTGTTTTATATAGGATCTTTAAAACTACTTGTGTAGAGTTTGATGGAGCTTTTGGTCGCTAAAGAAAGAGCGAAGTAGATGAGGGAAACTGGCGTCATGGCCATCAAATGAACCGAGTTTAAGTCAGTTGGTGGAAGTTAAAAACTCGCAGCGTTTTGATCGAGATTGCTGTCCACTAGGACCAAAACTGGACAACATGATGCATATTCGGCAAAGGTGAAGGACGTTTGGTATCTCCTGTATTGGGTTTGATCAATGCTCGTCGATGGAAGCGGTGCTTTATATGGAGCGGCTGATATGTGGATGCGTGGTTGATGATTTGGCAAGTGAAACGGCTGCTTGTAGAAAAGGTATTGCCGGGGTTGATGAATCCATCGGCATGCGTAGTTGCGATTATCTCCAGCATAACTCTGTTGGGATTCTGAAGAGCCTATGCCTGAGCTCTGGTCAGTCTGTATGAGGTTGAAGAAGCTATGCGACGCTAGCCAAATCGATGTAAGCAATCCTGGGTCCCCAGTGCTATATAGCTTAAGCCAATTACTTGGCTCGTTGTTTGTCTCAGGAGGCTTTGTATTGTAAAAGTATGCAGTGCTAGACGTGTTGGGGTAGCTTTCCCATCCTTTAGGTGGTTGAAGGGGGGCATTTTGACAGTAGCCCAGACACTTACGATTACACTGCGTGCAACGCGTGCAAATAGGCTTCGTCTCATCACACTTCACTTTGCGGTTACGGCAAGCTATACAGACCATTACGGCTCCTCCTCGATGTCTTGGAGACTTTTCCGGTGTTTATGGCCTCTGTTCGTCGAACGTCGTCCAGCGCTCTGTTCGCCATGGTTTGAAAGCTGAGAGAGAAGAAAGACGCAAAATGAGCCTAATTTAGCACTAAATTTGACATGGACAAGATTCAGAGGTAGTAGAACGATTAGATGACATACCTAAGTAGGATTTGATGTTAAATAAGAATGACACAAGACGGACAGAAGAATGTTGCTCCGATACGAAAAGGGTGTAGCGGAGCCAGAAGCGTCGAAAATTGGTGAGTCTTATCGGGTAGCAGTGATTAGGTAGTCAGGCTCGATGGTTAAATACAATGAAGGCGAAAGTGATTGTATTACCTTGTCCCTATGAACAACTGTTGGGCTGTCGGAAGTTATAGAGATTTAAGACTTCGATTTAGATCATAAAGAAGTGATGAGCATGCAAAAGGTCAAAAGGCTACTGTAACGGCCAAGAGAGGTCCGAGTGGCAAGCCGCCGCTATTGTAAGTACGGGCGGGATCACAGAGCCTATTGATACGATGTCGCTCCACCACGACCAATCAAATCTTCTATATTTTTTTAGACCATTGGTGTCCCATATTAATAGCTCGACAGATTGCAGTCTGGACTATTGAGGGCTTATTGCGGGACCGTTGAGGCGATGATTTGTAATGCCCTGCCGGTAACAGTTAACAACCCCAAACCCACTTACATCAGGTAGGGTACCAGCGATATAACGTGCGGGATCAGTAAGCTGGCCGGAACAGTAAGCTGGCCGCCCCACCAAACTTGACGCGACACTCTTCACAACCACCACCATGCCGCGACAACAACGCCCTATACAGACTTCTCGTGAAGGTAGAATAAGTCTTGCTATGGCGTCCTATTATAATAATCCAAAACAATCTATCTACTCTCTCGCGAAAGCGTACGACGTGCCAAAATCGACGCTCCAGACACGTCTCCGCGGTATGCAGCCACGATCAGAGGTTCCGTCTATTAGGCGTAAGCTATCACCTGTCGAGGAGCAGTCTCTTGTTCAGTGGATTCTAGAGCTAGATCGACGAGGCTTTCCGCCCCATATTATTAACGTGCGACGGATGGCAGACGCGTTACTCACAGCGCGTGGCCAAGATCCACCTCCACAACCTATAGGCAAGAAATAGGTGTCACGCTTTATCTAGAGCCAGCTAGAGCTTCAGACAAAGTGGACTAGGAGATTGCATAG